ACCGTCGCATCATCCAGGTGGGGCTGAACATTGGTGGTGGTGGAGGGGATCCCCATTACATGTAAAGAGCTTCGAGAGGAGTGTCCAGAAAAGCACTATATAAGTGTAAGGAATTATTATTAATTTGATTATTATTATGAACCCTTCTATACCAATTTTGTATTGACTGTGTAAGATACTGTAAGGCTCTTATGTTTCCTTTGTTATGATATACAGAACAACACTTGGAAGTTTCTATGAATAATGGAACTAAATATTAATCAACTCTTACAGTGTCACAACTTAAGGAAGTAGAATTGTGCGAAGAGACTTCTAGTTTGATATTTTGTAAATATAAAGTAAAAGTCAGAAGCCACTGACAGTAGTTTGCCCCTTATTAGGGATTATCAGCATTGTATAGCTAACTTTCTTCAGTGATATAGAAGCATATTTGCATCTTCATAAGATAAAAGCTGGATAAGCATATCTATCTAAACAATTATTTGTTGTGAGCATTAATTAGATCTTTGTCTAATCACAATATTACAGGAGACAAAACTGATTTACTACATTGCATTTGGGCTTTTTGCTTATTTCAAGTCAAATCTAACAGGGAAACAATTGTGACTATTAACTTTTGACTCTGTATAAAAGCAAAAGACAAAATGAAAAAACATAATAAAATGCATAAAAAAAGCTTAATTTCCTATAGAAGTGTGACTGGATTTATAGTTAATATGCATACCCATAAACCACTGTAGCTACTGGTTTTAACTCCTACTCTAATGGTAACATGTGTTCCAGCTGTTAGACTTTTCAATTTTAAAGGCTAGAAACAGGCAATCCAGTCTTTTAATGTTCAGGGATGGCACAGTTTTGGCGTCTCTTGGATATATTCACATATGCTGTGGATTATGCAGAAACAGTGGGAGTGATAAATGCTGAATAATACCAGTGGAACAAAGTGCTGCCTGTGGCCCTGATAAATATATATCGTATAGATACATACATGCAGTCCTTACTTCATGTAAAAAAAAAAACAATGCTGATTTACAAATTTTCAGTTATTGAAACAATTAAATGTATATCTCTGATCTAATAGAGATAACATAAAAATGTTCTTATTTTGGAAACTTACTATAAAAACAACAAGTTTTATAAAGAAAAGCAAAGCGGCTACATAAATAACTCATACTAATCTAATTGTTGCTTAGTCTTTAAAACACTAATTTTTCTTGCAAAAATGAGCTCAATTTATATTAAATACTTCTTGGCATATGATTTTTTCTACATTCTGCTTGCTTGTTTTTTATTTATATTTACACTTGTATTCTTTCTTATATGTTTTCATTTGCCCTGCATTTGATTCTTAAAATTAATATTAAATTCATTAATTACATTAATTGAAATACATTCCTTAATAGACATAAGATAACTGTTTTGATTTAAATAACTCATCACAGATACACAACTAGTTAAATCATTACAAAACTGGGTTGAAGTATCCCGAGTACTGCAATGTTGTTATGGTAGCCCTACTGTAATTCTAAATTCAAATTCATTACAACTGCCTCAAACCAGTAGCCTGGCTCCTGAAGAAAACGTCAATTAATTTCAAGGATTACCCTCAATAATTACCAATTCCCCAATAATTTGGTAAATTTATGCAGGTCTCCAGATTGCTCCCAAAGCTAGTTTAAGGTATATTAGAGGCACACTATTTAATCACTTTGTTGGAATCTGATTTTTGGAAAGACACCAGAACACAATCTTTTAAAATTGTGTTTGGAATGGTAAATTGTAATTATTGAGATATCGTTTATTATGCTTCAGCAGATGCCCTGGCATGCTTGTGTGAGGAATGCTACCTAATAATAAATTGTTTTGCTTCGGAATGTATTAACATATAAATCGTGGTGAATTTTAGCTATGAAAAGAGAGTAGTGAATCATTCTCCAGTGGTCACATCACACACTACACGCCCTTCAGATTTTTGTTCAGAATTCTGTCTGAAAAATGTACTGTAGTTTCTGTGCAATAACAGTATTTACAGAGAAAATCTCAGAATAATGCAGGCAACCAAACAAATGCACCTCTGAAGGTGTGCTCTTATTAACAGAACACAAACAGAGCTGGCAGGTCCTGCTGTCTATTGGAAAGTTTCAACAAATATTAAAATATAACACTTTTTATCCCAATGTCAAAGTGTGTGTGTAGTCTTCCAGCAGATGTCACCAAAGCTTATAAATAAATGAAAATGCGTAATACAAATCCTCCTCCGCATTGTGTATGTGTTATGTTCCTTTCTGATTCAGAATTTGTCATTTTAAATATCTTTCCATGGCAGCTCTTCCTAGCATTTCAGCAGAATACTCAGGAGCATGATGTTGTAGTAAGCACCTTGAAACTGCTTCCCACTGTACACCTGTGATGACGCATACAGCTTACTTAAATTGCTAAAGCTATTTGGATTATTTTTATCATTCTTTGAAAATGGAATCTGATTTAGCATTTAATAGAATGAATTTATTTTTGAAGTGCCTTAGTTATTGTATGGGGGTGATATAGCTTGGTGGGTGATCTTATGGACTCATAAGGGACAGGTTGTGGGTGTACGTTCCTTCTACAGGCACTGCTGTTGCACCTTGAGTGACATCCTCTAGCCCAGTTGCTCCAGTCCTCCCAGCTGTATAAATCGGAATCACATGCTCTGTAGACTGCTGAAACCAAAATTAGCTGTTGCTCTGGTCTGGACTTTGTGGTATTGTGCCACAATGCATAAAATCCTTCACATACTTTACCCTGAAAAGACCTGCTTAAGAATCATTTCTACTTTGTAATAAGCGGTTTCATCATTTCCAATGTCCTCACATAATTATGTTTTATTTTTCTTAATTTCATAATTCTGTGTTTTTCTGCAGTGTGAATGTGAATTATAATACAGCACCTACTGTAGGTAGATTTGAAGTTAGTTCAATTTAATTTAATTTAAGGAAGAGTTCATTAAGTTCAGCTACAAATGAAAAGTGGCCATTTGATCCATTTAGTCCATTTGGTACTTAGGAGCTAATTAATTAAAAGATCCCGTCTTTCTGTTTTTAATGGAAGCCAGGATATTAAGAAAAGGCTCATCATAAGAATTTCACTTCACACTAGAAGATAATCTTCACAACAAGCAGTCACTAATCATTAAAAAAAACAGTAGTAATTTTTTGGAACTGGTAGTAATCCTTCCCTTCCGTTTCCCCATATAACCAAGAGAATGTGTCTCTCTCTTTATATTTGTCTGTCTTTAAGGGAAACATCTGTTGATTATACTGTTCCCGTTTTTAAATTTCACATTGATTGTGTTCAGAATCTATGTACCATCATGTTGATCAGTTACTAATACATGATATCCAAAATATAATTTCTATCATTTTCAAAGCCCCAGAAAACACCTACATTTCCCTGTTACTATTTGACACATTCATTATTCATTCAATATCTGTGGCATCAAACACCCAAACCATTTGATATTTTATAATATTTCACATTCGATTGGTGAAATACTATTGACATTAACTATTCAGCAAATATTTAACAGAACTTCTATATCCCACTGGTCAGAAACAACTTTTATTTGAATAATGAAAAATAAAGGGCATATTGTATGTAACAAAAGTAAAATTAAAATGACAAAGCTTAGAATGAAAAGAGCACAACAAAGAAGATACAGCAATCACATAAACGCCTTTTGAAAAAGTAGGTTTTTAGATCAGATTTAAAAGCACCTAAGGCAGCTGAGTTCCTGATCTCTGTTGGGATGGTGTTCCACAGTACACAGTACAGTGGAGCACAGCAAGAAAAGGAAACAACAAGCGAGAATCAGCTGAGCCAACATCACATGTACCAGTCAAAACACAAAACATATTGATAGACTATAAGATGCCATTTTATTGTATAGCTTTCAAAGCAAGCAGCATGGTTTTAAAACCAACTTGGAGCCTGACAGGAAGCCAATGCAAAGACTCCATTGGAGAAGTGCTGTGATACTGTATGTAATCGCCTGTGCTGGGAAATCAGGATTCTAGCTGCCAAATTCTGAACATACTCTACATGGTCAGGTGAGAGAACACATTGCAATACACAATCCTGGTAAATATAAAACAAACACTTACAGTACTGCAATAGACACTGTAAAGCCACATTATGAAATGTCTTGGAAATGTTTCCAACGTGAAAACGAATGAAAGATTTTGCATCTAAAGTTCAAAAGTCAATCCATAATCAAAACTCACCCCTTTACTCTTCATTGTGGGATGAAGAATGTTTGGACAGTCCTTTCCAAGGTACAAGATTACAACATTGATTCAAAGTAACTCTTTGGTGTGTCAAGATATTAGTTCCCCCTCCTTAAGGGTGCTCCAGCCCTTTCACTTAAGACTTCATTCTCTGCACCTGTTTCC